CCAGAGCACACCAGGCCCTCCTGTTTTCCACTGCCTCCCGGAGTTGGGTCAAATTCATGTTGGTAGCTTCGATGACACTGTCCAACCATCTCATCCTCTGTTGTCCCCTTCTCCTCTTGCCTTCACACTTTCTCAACATCAGGGCCTTTTCCAAGGAGTCTTCTCTTCTCATGAGATGGCCAAAATATTGGAGCCTCAGCTTCAGGATCTGTTCTTCCAGTGAGCACTCAGGGTTGATTTCCTTTAGAATGGATAGGTTTGTTCTCCTTGCAGTCCCGGGAACTCTCAAGAGTCTCCTCCAGCACAACAATTCAAAAGCATCAATTCTTCAGCAAGCAGCCTTCTTTATGGTCCAGCTCTCACTTCCATACATCACTACAGGAAAAACCATAGCTTTGACTATGCGGACTTTTGTTGGCAAGGTGATGTCTCTGCTTTCCAAGATGCTGTCGAGGTTTGTCATCGCTTTCCTCCCAAGAAGCAGGTGTCTTTTAATTTCGTGGCTGCTGTCACCATCTGCAGTGGTCATGGATGCCAAGAAAGTCAGATCTGTCGCTGCCTCCATAAATTCCCCTTCTATTTGCCAGGAGGTGATGGGACCAGGGGCCATGATCTTAGTTTTTTCGATGTTGAGCTTCAGACCATCTTTTGTGCTCTCCTCTTTCACCCTCATTACAAGGTTCTTTAATTCCTCCTCACTTTGTGCCATCAGAGTGGTATCATCTGCATATCAGAGGTTATCAATATTTCTTCTGGCAATCTTAATTCCGGTTTGGGATTCATCCAGTCTGGCCTTCCGCATGATGTATTCTGCATATAAGTTGAATAAATAGGGGGACAATATACAGCCTTGTCGTACTCCTTTCCCAATTTTGAACCAATCAGTTGTTCCATATCCAGTTCTAACTGTTGCTTCCTGTCCCACATATAGATAGACAAGGTGGTCAGGCACTCCCATTTCTTTAAGAACTTGCCATAGTTTGCTGTGGTCGACACAGCCAAAGGCTTTTGCATAGTCAATGAAGCAGAAGTACATGTTTTTTTCTGGAATTCTCTGGCTTTCTCCATAATCCAGTGCATGTTAGCAATTTGGTCTCTAGTTCCTCTGCCCCTTTGAAATCCAGCTTGTACTTCTAGGAGTTCTCGGTCCACATACTGCTGAAGCCAGCCTTGGAGGATTTTGACCATAACCTTGCTAGCGTGTGAAATGAGTCACAGCCAATCAAGTGAGAATGGGAAACTTACAAAGAAGAGTCTGGCAGTATAACTGCTAAATAGGGGCTTGGCTAGGAAAGGAGCCCTAACTGCCAGATATGTCTTGGCTAGGAAAGAAACCAATTAGATTCTGCTGAGAGAAGCGTGGTTGGGTAGGGTTAAACTCTATATTTTCTTCAGGTTGAGGAAAAGTCCTAGAAGAGGTTAGGTGTGCTTTTGCAAGTTTAATAAAAAGCAAATATCCTCTCAAGAAGGAACTAGCATTCCGGTGACCTGTTCTGTTGAAATCCAATGTGAGGTTCACGTTGATTCCCTGAATCAGTAAACCTGTTATGGAATCATACTGTGCCTTTAATAGAACTGTCAAAAATTCATCCGTGGATTGAGAATTTAAAAATAAACTACAGTTTCCGTTCTATATTTTGCCTTAGTCCACATTTATGTCCATATCCGGGGATAATCGGTTTTGAGGAAACCCTATAAATATTATATATTAAGCTCCAGCTTAAGTGTTACACTACCAGCAATATATAGCATCAGTACTGATTACATCTTCTCTTAGGAAATCCCACAGATTAAGAATAATCACCGTGACTGTATAAACTTTGATCTCTCTCAGTCTCTTTCATGTTAACCAACCTCTCATTTTCAGTGTGGAAGTGTCATGCGCGCCACACAGTTGATCCCAGATGTAGTACAGCTTTCCTGGATTATATCACTTGTCTTTTTTTGAATATTGGAGTTGTAAGAACACATGAAGAACACAGGCTAGCTAGTCTAATCGCTTGTGAAAGCCCACAAATAGGATGTGAATACTACAGCACCCATTTACCTCAGCAAAAAAGCACCCCCCACCTCTTTTCCCTACTCCCTTTTAAAGCTGTCCAAGTTGGCATCCATCGTTACATATTCTTGTAGCAAACTCCATAATATCACTACGTGCTGTACATATATCCTTCCTTTCCGTCTTGAATCTCTCATGTCACAGAACCCTGAATTCTGTGAGCCTTGCATTCCAAGTACTGAGAAGAAAGGAGAAAAGCCTATTCCGGGCAACCTCCACACCACGCATAATATTATACAACTCTATAATGTCTCCCCCTACCTTGTGTCTAAGCTATCTAGCCTAAAATGTTATCATGCTCTAAAGTGTGGCCACGCCACAGGCTTGTCTAAAGCAGTATGATTTGGACTGGTGTGATTAAAAAAAAAATTTTTTTTTCATAATTACACTCAAAATTGAATTTGTTAGAGGCACAGGTTTATGGGGTGGTAGGGTGTTTTATTTTATTTTGGACTATATCACCCAGAATGACGATCGTCGGAAGAAATATCAACAACCTCAGATATGGAGATGATACCACTCTGATGGCAGAAAGTGAGGAGGAATTAAAGAACCTCTTAATGAGGGTGAAAGAGGAGAGTGCAAAAATGGTCTGAAACTCAACATAAAAAAAAGAAAGAAAAAAAGATCATGGCCCCTGGTCCCATCACCTCCTGGCAAAGGGGAATTTATGGAGGCAGTGACAGATTTGACTTGCTTGACCACCATGATCACTGCGGATGGTGACAGCAGCCATGAAATTAAAAGACACCTGCTTCTTGGGAGGAAAGCAATGACAAACCTAGACAGGATCTTGAAAAGCAGAGACATCACCTTGCCAACAAAAGTCCGAATAGTCAAAGCTATGGTTTTTCCTGTCGTGATGTATGGAAGTGAGAGCTGGACCATAAAGAAGGCTGCTCACTAAGGAACTGAAGCTTTTGAATTGTTGTGCTGAAGGAGGCTCTTGAGAGTCCCCTGGACTGCAAAGAGAATAAACCTATCAATTCTAAAGGAAATCAACCCTGAGTGCTCACTGGAAGGACAGATCCTGAAGCTGAGGCTCCAATACTTTGGCCATCTCATGAGAAGAGAAGACTCCCTGGAAAAGACCCTGATGTTGGGAAAGTGTGAAGGCAAGAGGAGAAGGGGACGACAGAGGACGAGATGGTTGGACAGTGTAATCAAAGCAACCAACATGAATTTGACCCAACTCCAGGAGGCAGTGGAAGACAGGAGGGCCTGGTGTGCTCTGTTCCATGGGGTCACGAAGAGTCGGACACGACTTAACGACTAAACAACAAACAACAACATATCTCCCAGAACTCCTCAGGCAACTTGGGGAATTCTGGGAGTTGTAGTAAAAAACATCTCCCAGAACTCCTCAGGCAGCTTGGGGAATTCTGGGAGTCAAAAACTACATATCTGCATACATCTAGTATTTGCTGGTTTTTAAAGCAGCTGTACACTGGATTGACACCGCCTATCAAGCTGCAGCTTAGGTCCCATAATCATATATGCAAAATTAGGATACAGTATTTGTTTTGGCTCAAATAGGCATCATTTGCCACTTATACTGATTTTCATTCGCCACTTTAATGCACAGTCCCACAATGGAGAAATAATCTTTGCAATTTGTTTTTGTTCTCAATGCCTCAAGTAATTCAATGTCATTCACAAACTTGGTCATGTCTTGTTTATCCCTAACCCCAAGTCATTTATGGATGGATTAAAAAACACTGGTCCTAAAACAGAACTCCAAAGGGTCTCACATTTATATGGTTCCATTGCAAGGACTGGTTATTTCTTCCAGTTTTCTAGCTTCTGTTCCTTCACCAGTCCATATGAGGAGTTCTGTTCTAGTTATCCCATGACTGTTAAGTTTGCTCAGGAGTCTTCGGTGGTTGAATTTACTAGAATCTTTTGGAAAGTCTAAGCAACAGCCACCCAATCACACCTGTCTAAACGTTGATTGAATCTTTCAGAGCACTCTAAAAGATTGGGAAAAGGTGTACCCTTGTCAAAACCACGCTGATAGTTTTTTTAAACTGGCCCTGTCCTTCTATATGCTTAACAAATACTTTAACTCATATTTACACAGAACCCCTGTTGAGCTAACTGGCCTCTGTGATTTTTGGCCTGCCTGCTGGTATAGAGGGCTATCCTGAGGGAAAAATTATATATTTAGTAGATGAGCAATATCACATTTGAGTTCTTTAGAAGTGTGAAATGGGTACTATTTGTACTTGTCGATTTGGTTGTTTCCCAATTTGTCAGTAGGATCTAGAATGTTCTCCCTCTATATGCGTCAATGTCCAATTCCCCTTTTCAGGAAAAAACACTTCAAGCAGAGGTATCTACACTCTGCGTCTTCTGCAGCAAAGACAGAGGAAAATAATAATAATAATAATATCATTTAATAAAAGAAATAATATAGCTTCCATGCAATTCTTTTGAGCGTGAAGAACATACACTTTTCCCCTTTTGTCATGAAAGATAAAGCAAAGCATTTCAAGTACATCAAAGAGTGTTTATTGCAGACTATTGGCTGAGTCATGTGAAAAAAGGCACCATGAAAAGTAATAAAACTAGGTACTTAATTTCTTCTAAATGACATGATGGGGTTTTGATGCCTTTATATACATGTGCTAGAATAGAACATTTTGCATGGAGGAAATAAAAAGTTCTTGTTCCAAAAACAAACAAACAAAAAACCCAACTCAAAACAAACTCTGGCATTTACTAGATATTTTTAATGCTTGAGATGGGCATACTTTAAAATATGTATGTAGGCAATGGACATTTCATTTTTTCTCTTTTTTAAACACTTACAAATGTGGTCTCCATTTCCTCCTATAACTGGTGAAGTTAAAGAAAAAAAAGCACAATAGTCTTAAGAGATAATACTGTGAATGACCATATGAATACCCAAAACAAGGACCAACTGCCCCCCCTTTTTAAAAAAAAAATGAGATTTGTGCTACTGTTTCCTTCACTGGTGTCTTTATTGGTTTGTGCTTATTCCCACTGGAACAGCATTAAAATTCAAATCCAGAATAAATTATTTTGCTATTTACACATCCATTAAGAAACCGTCTCATGATGCTGTCCAAAGAATTGAGTCTGTGCTTATGTAAGATTAGGGTTGCTGTAGGTATCAAAAACATTTAACCTCTAGTTGTTGGCATTCATGAACTTTTAAATAAATTTTGACATCTCTTGGTGATAAGAAATAGGAGAGAGAGAAAAGCCACCTCTGTGGTCTGTAATGATGGAAGGAGTGAAAGGATCTTGTCACAGTGAAGCCCTTTGAAACCCCATAGAATCCAAGAGAAGAGCTGTACAAATATCCCTAAACTCCCCATTGAAATCAATGGAAGTCTGGCTGGATCATTCCCTTTGGATTCCTGCTGGACCCAAGATTTCAGCACATTTTACTAGCCAGCTCAGTGTCTATGAATGGCTCAAAGCAGCAATGTGATTTCGCCTGTTCGGGTCAAAAAGAAGAAAAAGATGAAATGCTCATTTTTTTTCCCCACTAGCCTTAGGGGGCAAAAGAACCACCCAAAACATTTCCTTTTTGACTATACTTTTACATCCCAGGAGAGAGAGAGAAGGCGACCGAGGCCTCCCCTCACTTCCCATTCGCATGCGGTCTTTATGGCATCAACTTGTATTGAGATAAATAATAAGCAACAATCATCCAGGCATTTCCCTTTCATGGCTTCCTAAAACAAAGCATGACTGAACAATGCCAGAAACAATTGGGGTGAGGTGGGGGTTTCTCCGTTTTTTAGACCAAAGAAAATACAAAAGACATTTTAGTGCCCACTGCTCTCATCAAAAGACTCTACGCCAGAGTCGGTGGCAGCCGCACTGAGTTTCTCTTGCCGCCTTCTCATGATCTCCTGCAATTCTGAGCTTCCACTGTTAGCCTGGATGAATCAAAGAAGGGGGAAAAAAGATCTAGGTTAATATACTTTCACACAAACATCTTTTTCTGAGCCATAATGGTTTTATCCATGAAATACCCAGAATCTGAAAAGTTGATCGCTTGTGAAACGGATTCGTCAGGGGAGATATGACAGCACGACTCAAAGGCTTGGAAGAGAGTCCTACAGAGGAGGGGCAGGATCTGTTCCCGATCATCCCAGAATGAAGGACATGTAATCATGGGCTCAGGCTACAGGAAACCAGATTTAGGCTGAATATCAGGAGAGACTTAACTGTTAAGATCACTACAACCATGAAACCTGTTACTTCGGGAGGTGGTGAGCGCTCCAGCGCTGGAGGCCTTCAAGAGAAAAATAGGACCACCATCTGTCACATGTGCTTAGATTTGGATTGAACAGGGGGTTGGACTTGATAACGTGACCTGACCCTTCTCACTCAATTGTTCCATGAAATTTAGGAGGGCCCAGGCTCCACAAAAAGAGCACTACAACCATGAAACCTGTTACTTCGGGAGGTGGTGAGCGCTCCAGCGCTGGAGGCCTTCAAGAGAAAAATAGGACCACCATCTGTCACATGTGCTTAGATTTGGATTGAACAGGGGGTTGGACTTGATAACGTGACCTGACCCTTCTCACTCAATTGTTCCATGAAATTTAGGAGGGCCCAGGCTCCACAAAACCTTTGAATTGATTTAAAACTGAGGTGTACCAATGAGGAGAAGCATTAGGTGCAGCCCTTATGAACTACATCATTTCAGAAAGAAGGCTTGACTGTTCTCTGAAGTGTACTGATGGTTCAGACTGTGCCTGCCTAGGAAGAGTACACTGAAAATGTGTGCCTCAAAGAGAAAAATTGGTTACAGCCACTCCCTATAACAGGGTGGCTTTTTTACGTTCTGTGTAGTCTACATTGGCTTGGGCATGTCGTGAGAATGGCTGATGGTCGGATTCCAAAAGATCTCCTGTATGGAGAATTAGTGCAGGGAAATTGCCCCAGAGGGAGACCACAACTGCGATACAAGGATATGTGCAAGCAGGATCTGAAGGCCTTAGGAATGGACCTCAACAGATGGGAAACCCTGACATATGCGCACTCAGCCTGGAGGCAGGAGTTGCATCATGGCCTCTCCCAATTTGAAGAGACCCTTGTCCAGCAGGCCGAGGCAAAGAGGCAGTCCCGAAACCAGCAAAATCAGGGAGCTGGACAGGGGACAGATTGCATTTGTCTTCAGTGTGGAAGGGATGGTCACTCTCGAATTGGCCTTCTCAGCCACACTAGATGCTGTTCCAAGTCCTCCATACAGAGCATGTTACCATAGTCTTTGGAGACTGAAGGATGCCTAACTAACTGTTCGTTTGCTTGTTTTATTATGAAGAGCGCTTTTCAGTGTCTCATCTGAAGCAGCACAATCCTGGGAGAGCTGCATTGTGCAATTCTGCTGACTATATGGCTACATCTTCAGACAAACGGCTATTTTAATTTATGTTTGCTTCGGTTCACCACAGCTTGCCATACAACCAAAGTTGGCTGAGGAGTTATGGAATCTGTGGACCAGAAACTTTTTTAAAGCTCTGATCTTAACAATGATTGGAGGAAACAAGTTAACTTCCAGTCGTGATTCACGAAAATGACTTGTTTCCACGAAACACAGTTAAAAGTAAGCACAGTTTAGGATGCAAATACAATTACCATATTTTTCGCACCATAAGACGCACTTTTCCCCCACAAAACAGGGGGGTGGAAAGTCTGTTCTGTGCATTAAGCACAGTTTAGGATGCAAATACAACTAACTTGCTGTATAGCTTGAATGGAAGGTTGTGACCATCCTAGATCAGATCAGAAGATAAGAAAGAGGGGTGCATGCAAGCCCACTAGAACCCACTTCACATGTTCAACACTTTGTGGAAAACACAGCAACCACATTCTTCACGCAGACCGGACAAGAGCCTCTCAGAATGGAAATGAGCTTAGTATGTACCTCCAATGCGCAGACTGAATAAGAGCCTCTCAGAGGGGAAATGAGCTTAGTATGTACCTCCAATGCAGCTTTCTGAACGGTAATTTGGCTATAGACCCTCGCTCCTTCAGGGCACACAGACTTTAGTTCATCTTTGTTGAGGGAGAACAGTTGAGCGCCAGTCAAAACTCCAAGGCTGTTGACGGTCCTGTAGAATTAACAACAGTGCATTAACAGCAATGATTTTGACACCTAGGTCACCTAAACCTGGGGATGTGGTGGTGCTGCGGGTTAAACCACAGAAGCCTCTGTGCTGCAAAGCCGGAAGACCTGCAGTCGTAAGATCAAATCCATGCAATGAAGTGAGCTCCCATCGCTTGTCCCAGCTCCCGCCAACCTAGCAGTTCGAAAGCATGTAAATGCGAGTAGGTAAATAGGTACCACCTTGGTGGGAAGGTAATGGCGTTCCGTGTCTAGTCACGCTGGCCAAGTGACCACGGAACCTGTCTATGGACAAGACACTGGCTCTATGGCTTGGAAACGGGGATCAGCACCGCCCCCTAGAGTCAAACACCACTGGATTAAATGTCATGGGGAACCTTTACCTTTACCACCTAAACATGGATACTGTAGCCATGACCTGGATCTTAAAACTGGCGTAAACGTGGATGCTGTAGCCATGACCTGGATCTTAAAACTGGATGAACCATTGATCTCATGGTGAATAGGTTTATTTAACTGTCCTCTTTCCCACTCATCCCCATTTTGAAGCAGCAGGATTTCACTTAAATTCTGCTTGCTATATTCATTTACTGTGCACCATTTCTGAAACCTGACCACAATATTTGATATTCCTAATACAATCCATGCATATATTTTGATTCTTCTGCATTCAATAAAAATTCCTTTATTGAAATAGTTCTGTGTGAAAGTGGATTCCTGTAGCCAAGCTGTAAAACCCATTTAACTAAGGCTGGGGTCACATTGGAAATATGAATTTATTTCTGTTCAGACTTTTTATAAATCAGGTTCAAGTCATGCGGTACTTAAACCAGTGGTTATGTTCACATGTACTGAGTGGAAATCCATTTATTTTTCGTGATTTAAACTATTTTTGGCATCCACACAGCTGAAATCTCATTTCCACAAAACCGAACTGAATTGAATTGATTTTAGAAGTATTTTAAAAAGCCCCTTCCAGACACTTGGGGAAAAAATCAGTTTGCAGCCCACAGAAACTGATTTCACCCTTGTGTTGTGTGACTGATAACATCTAAATCAATTTAAATGACGCTTAAATGCAGTTCTTATTGTCAGTGTGACCACAGCCTAAATTGGAATAATTTAAACCATGGAGTTAACTTCATTTAAAAATTGATTTCTTATTGATTTCTTTCATTTCCTTTATTTCAGACTTTATCCCCAATACAGGATTAATCATTATAAAATGACTAAGAAACACATACAATTAAAACCCAAGGGTTGGAAACCTCATCTTTATCTATTTTGGCAGAAGTGCAATAGCATAAATCGGTTGGCAAATTCTTACTAGGTCAAGAGCTGCCATTTGTGCCAAATCATACAACAGCTGCTGTGATTTATACTGCTCCTCCAATAGCTGTTACTTAGGTATACCAGCTTAAGCCAAATGGCCTAAATCTCAGCAGCAAACTGCTGTTAATCAAGGAGTCAATGTTTACATTCTTTGCCATGCATAACTGCATGACTTGACGGTGAAATGAGGAATATAAACATGGGCTTCTTAACTACCAGCAGAGGATTCTGGCTCCAAAGTCATAATATAAAAAGGCATAAAAAATTTAAATCATAGGGACTTAGCTGATTCCAAAGACTAGTGTTTTTAAAAAAGAGAAATTCGGATAACACTTTTTGTTAGTCTCAGCTGTTTAAATACATTGGAAATTCTGAAGCCGTGGGAAAAATCTTTACACACAAACGCAGAACATATGCTCCACAAGGTTCTGCTCTGCTCTGTTGTGGAGGTAATGCAGGACTCCTGAAGGCTACACTAGCAAAGCCACAGATCCAGTCCTTTCCACCAACCTAGCATAGTTATCAGCTTACCCCTGGTGGAAGACAGGGTGCCCGTTACCCAAGGACAAGCCAGAGTAAATATAGAGAAGCTCGTATGCAAAGAACAGCCCTTCCTAGCACCATGATCACATGGAATAGCTTTGATTTTGATTTGTCACAGGAACTGCTTGCATCGGTGTAAAATCACAGTTCTTCCATTTGTGTGTGTGTGTGTGTGTAAAAGTTAAGTTTCTGTTATTAAATCACATCCTAAAAAGTTGATAGAACAGTCAAGTCTCACTTCTTTTTTCAAGAGGCCTACAAGCTTTCAAAATAAAATATCACCATCATGATGACATGAGTATTTCAAGTTGCAGAAAGCAATAGGCACTTGGAATCCCCCCGGGGTGGTGAATCTTTGGCACGCCAGATATTTTGGACTACAACTCCCATATACCTTTATCTCTAATAATACAGACTAGGGATTCTGGAGGCTGAAGTCCTAAACATCTGGAGTGCATACCTATAGGTTGCCATACCTGGACTAGCCAATAGAGATGCTTAAAGCTCATTTTTTTTATAGGAGATCCTCTTTTTTGCCCAGTACTATCTTCTGCTGTGTACCTGACATGATCGATAACCCAGCCCTTGTGGGACAAAGTAGGTGCGCCCCCTTTAGCTTTGATCAACTTTTAAGAGAAAACAGTGCCTCTCCAGACTTACACGGGGTTGAATCCTTTGGCCTGTAGCCACATTTTTACATCTTCTGGAGAGGATTCGTAGGTGATATTGACTGCTGGTGCATTGGAACGTGGGACATGGAATTTTTTTTGGGCTGCGCTCCGGCCAATGGTGAGCCGGTGAATGAGTTCATCTTGGACTTCCTCCATCTGGGATTTCCTTCCTAAAAAACGAGAGAGGGAGAAAGGGAAGGAGGGTGGCCTTTACAAGATGTTTGAGAAAGTTATTTACACTTAAAGGAAATACTGTAACAATTATCTTGCTTATTTAATTGGTTTCTCTAAAGTACAATTCTATGTCTATGTACTCAGAAATAAAAACTTACTGGCCAGAATCCTATTGCATTTTACCATATGCAGAAGTTTCCATGGCTGATAGAATTAGGTCCAAGTCATGCACCCAGCATCTTGTTTATTAGCTGCAATTAACCAAAGTAGCTTCTGTGAGTCCTCTTCTCTGTGCTTTAATATACACCAGGATTCTGGCCATTGTTCTGCCATCTCTCCATCCCTCCTAATATGGGCTCTAAATCCTTACAACGTTATGAACAATACCTTTTTTCTTCAGATCAACCTTTTCATCACTAGTAGTAGGCATCCTTCAGTCTCAAAACACTAGGGTAACATGCTCTGTATGGAGGACTTGGAACAGCGTCTAGTGCGGCTGAAAAGGCCAATTCGAGAGTGACCATCCCTTCCACACTGAAGACAAAATACAATCTGTCCCCTGTCCAGCTCCCTCATTTTGCTGGTTTCAGGACTGCCTCTGTCTGAAGCTTCCTTTTGCTTCACTTTCTCCTTAATTTAATAGGACTCACATTTTGGCACACTTTCTCCTTAATTTAAAGGGACTCACATTTTGAGGTCCCTAATACAAGCCTAGCATGTGATACATCCAAAGTGAGGAACTTTTAAACCCTCTTGATTTTAGTGGAGGAGTCAAGGCTGCACGCAATTATCTCCCATTAATAACAGTAAAACTTTAAAAAGTTCTTAATGGAGTCTCGATTAGGCTCTTAATGATTATAGCTACTTCATCTTTTTTCTTTTTCTCTCCAGACCTACCCCAACCCACAAAGGCTGTTCAAAATTCATCCAGAAATTCTGGTGGCACAGTTTAGTGACAGTTGTCAGTGGCTCCATCCTGGCTTGTTCAGCAAAGTCCTTCATCTTCTACCTGCTAGAACTGCTCTTGGGCTTTCCAAGAGCAAAAGGAAGCTTCAGATCCTGCCACTCTTTCCCCATCTTACCGGTTCAACAAGAGGCAACATTTGTTTAAGAGTCAAGGTGATGCTTCTGTGCCAAGAATTCCTTTCACCTTTCCTGTTTTACCAGGAAAGTAAGATAGTTACTACAGCAATGGTTTCAGTATCGGTAAGGGCTTATAACGGGGGGAGGGGGGTCTGAGCTGGCCTGCTCTTGGGAGGTGTGAGAGATACACAAGTCAGTAGGGACTGCAGGCCAGCCCAGGACTTTTTGCCGTCTGAGGAGGAGGCAAACAGTGCCTCCCAAGTGCCCAAGCCAATCTTTGCCATCCCTGTCTTATGGTCCATCTAAGTGAATTTCATCCAGTGGCTGGCATCAGCTAGCCAGTCAAGACCTGCCAGGGTTTAAACCAAAACACCTAACCTCTCATGGTGTTCTTCCTGCTCCACTACACTGGAAACCCTGCCCAAGCCTTCTGAAACTGCTGAGGTCACTGCTCCAGAGTTCAAAAACATGGTCCATTAAAACCTGCAAGCACTAATTATGTTAAATTATGTTAACATTCATAATTTCATAATTTTAATCATCAAATGCGAAAGACATTACTTTTGAATTATATTTAGTTCACTCCTGGCAATTACTTGACATTTGAAGTGATATGTTTTTAACTGAATGGCCAGAATCCTCTTAGCTATGGCCGCCGCTACAACTCAATTCGTGTAAGTTGCTGCAAGTTAAGAAGTCAACATAGGTATTTGCTGTTGTGCTCCAGATCCATATGATTCAGCATGTGACAGAAAAAGGACATCTTAACGTGTGGCAAATCAGTTCTGAAATGTATGCCAATTGAGTTATGCTAGCATAAAATGTAACAGGATTCTGGCCAATGAATTAACTAGGAAATAATTACGTTACGTATGGTTCAAAATTACCGTAGATTGATGCCAGTGTTTTTGTCACTGAAAGGACTAGAAACCTGACTCAAAAATAAATTCAAACAAGATGGCTGGCAATCTTTGGTTATGGTATTTCATGCCAAAATGGCTGCCCTGAACACATTTCATACAGTAGGCAGATCTCTCTTGAACACATGATTTGAAAGACAAAAGATAAAAACCAGGTGAATACCGGTGAATACAAAACTCACGGTCTACAGGGGGTGGTTTCTGCCTCTGGGCATCCCGCCCACCATCACTGGATGTGCTGCTCTGGCGGCTGATGGCTCCAGGTACCTTTGGCACAGGAACGGGGACCGGCGCTGGGACACTTGGCGGGAGAGAGACAGGAAGCGGCGTCTGAGGTGGAGATGGAGCAGCAGGCGTGGGATCCGGCTGCCTCACCACAAAGTCTGTCCTTTGTTTCTGCAGGTACAAAAAGAAGAACGTTTCGTTTTCCCCGGTGGGGGAATGTTCTCTTCTTTGTGGGTTTTGGAAAAAGACAAAACCTCTGCAAGAAAACACCTCTTTATTTTTTCACACATCAAACCAGCTCAAGTCCAGGGAGGCATAACAGAGCAATGTATATACTCCCACACATTGTTGGGTGAGAAAAAAGCGAAGAGAGAGAGAGAGAGAGAGAAGGTCTGAATCTCTCACTATCAGGTGATTATTATCTCTTGGCCTCTTTTCTTTTAAAGAAAAAAGAGAGACATTCTTGATACTTCATTTTTTTGTTCTTAGAGCAATAAAGTGCAACCAGGCTAGATGTGGGCTGGACAGATTCCAGGCCTGTCAAATATGTTTTATTTTTCACTAGACCTCCTAAATCCATTGATTAGGGCCAGATATAAACAACCAGAGCTTGGAAGTAAATAATTACCGTGTTTTCCAATAAGACAGGGTCTTATATTAATTTTTGCTCCAAAAAAGGCATTATGGTTTATTTTAAGGGGATTTTTTCATGTACAACAATCTACATTTATTCAAATACAGTTGTGTCACCCTCTTCTGGTTGCTGCACAATGGTGGAGGGCGGGGTTTCACTTAAGTAGGCCTTATTTTTGGGGTAGGGCTTATATTACAAACATCCTGAAAAATCCTACTAGGGCTTATTTTCAGGTAGGGTCTTATTTTTGGGGAAACAGGGTGCAAATAACAAGGAATAATAATCATATGATGCCACATGTGTTTTGCTGCTACATTCTGATATGGGTTTTTTTTTCATTTAAAAAATAGATTAACTTAGTTCCTTTTGGGAAAAGAAAAAGTAAAAAGTTACTTTTCAAAAATTACACCTAAGATAGTCACTACTCTTGTGATCTTGGAATTATCATTGCTCCTGATTGCTTTTCAAAAGTATCTTTCCAAGCCCTGCATATATCCTTAGAACAAACAAACAGGCTGCCTCTGAGGATGTTTTCAGACAACAGGTTTCAGACAATGGGTTTATTTTCAGCACAATAAACAAACTGAATGCAGTGCTCTTTCGCACCCAAGTCTGTTCTTAGATATCACAAGCTTGGGTCTCGGCAGCCCAATCTAGGTAGGAAAATGCCGTGCTGTAGTCACTGAGTGTCTGGGTGGGACCCGATGGCATCAGATGGCTCAATTGCACTGAGAAAGAGTCACTTCTATGGGAGTCAGCTTCCATAAAGAGATCCTTCTCTATCTGCCAGGGAATCACCCAAACCTGCCCCCCAAAAGTGCTACAGAGGTCCAGCGTTGGCACAGACTTGGGTCAGGCGGGGCGCTATTGCCCTTATGCCATGTGACAGCCAGAAAACAGATCGTTTTCTCTGTGTGATCATGCCAATAAGAAAGCCTTATGCTTCTTTCGGCTGCAAATTTTCCTGCGATTCTTCTAAGTAGATTCCAGACTACTTGATCCTCACTTCTGGGTTAGGTACACGGATTGTCTGACCTGATTTAAAGTAATTTCATATGTTTACCCTCTGTTACTTTCTTTCTTTAAAATATTTTTAACCTGCCTTTCTCCTTTAAAAAAAATAGCCAAGGTGGCTTACAACAATTAAAACACAGTATTTAAGTCAGTAAGAATGAGTACAGAGTACTAAAAAGATCCATGAACAGAATACCAAAAAAACATAGGCAACACCAAAACACACTCAATGCAGCGAGGTACAACACAATCCATTTCAAGCCTCCTTAAGGTTGAAAAGTTAAGAATTTATTATAAAAAAATAAAAATAAAGAATGAGAAAGGTTTATAGAAGTACAACACACTTTACGGTCAATCTGTACAAAACTTTTAACATGGTCGTTTGTATAGCATTTTCTATGAAAGCAACTTGAATTACCTCTGAGAGTTCTCCGAGTAATTGCTATGAGAGAGATGAAGTAAATCAAAGCAAATGAGACTGGTAAAATGACACTGGACCCCCAACCACATCCCACCAGGCTCAAGTGACATTCAGTGCTTTTGACACTGGTTCTTGCTTGCCAATTTTTAAAATACTGGCATTTTTACAAACCCCAATGACCACAATTTTGGAAAGAGATGACACAAAATAAACTGTGGCTCAGGATGCCAATATATTGTATTATTCCACAATAAACAATAGCTGTATTGGTAACCTGATCACATCCTGAGGCAACACAACAACACACACCCTCACGAAGAAACGTTAACATGGATAAGAGAGGCCCCAAAGTACCAACATGAGCTATGAGGGCTAGAAACTCATTACAAATAAAAGTCTTTGTCGGATTACGAAAGGGGTGGTGGGATTTGAAAAATAATTCACTGGGCCATGATATCGTTCACGGTGAGGCGGGGCACCCCTTCATAGTTCATCTTTCCTGTGGAAGAAAGTCAAGGAGCAGACGTGGTCAGCAACACAATCTGGATTTGCTGAATCTGGCTCCTCCTTAGATGACCCAAGTGTTCCTAGAGTTGCTGAGTGAGTCATGCTCCAGATGGTAGTTTGTTTTCCTTTTATGACAGAAACTCCCAGGAACCACTGAAAACGAAGGTAGCCTCTTCACCACAGGCCTGTACAGGATCATGTTTCTTGGGAAGTCCATAACATGACAGGATGTTGCAAACTAGTTTCTCTTTGTAATGCTCACATATGGGCAGGGCTTTCTCGGTGGTGGTGCCACAGTTGTGAAAGCCTCTCCTAGCTGATGGTCACAACAGTTCCTATCTTTCTGCCCTTCAGTGCATGATAAAGACTTAAGCGTGTAGGCCAGATGTTAACCAGTAGGCCTCCTTTGTGTGTATGTGTTCTTTGTTAAAGTTTATATCTGCTGCTCCTGATGCTGTTTCTCTTTTTTTCAAAATGACACATAGGCTGAAATCCTGTTGCTTTGTAATGTCATGTTCACTCATTCCTAGCCTATTGGGATTCTCAGGAATGTACCAAACCAGCAAGGCAGGCATGTCCACAGAATGCTAGCAGTGACTTGTTAACTGTTGGCTAAGAACGAGTGAATTTTATGCTTTTAATCTTCCATGTAAAAAATCTGGAGCTGGAGTCCCGAAGGCAGTTCTTGTCGTTCTGCCAACTCCTGCAACGTTGCTGGAACCAGTTGTATTGGCTCTTGCCTTTCCATTGGACCATTTCAGCAACGTGGAGAGGGGGGATCTGCTGCTTGGGTAACAGCCTATCCTCCATATTCCTTTCCCCAGGCTTCATGGGAATGCCAGCAGTGACTTGTTAATTGTTGGCTAAGAACAAATGAATGTCATGCTTTTAATCTTCCATGTGTGCAACAGACCAACAGGATTTCAACCAAAGTTCATTATTACTATATCTAGTAATATTACTATTGTATTCTCTTACTACTATTGTTCTCTTTCAATGATGCAGTTTATTCTGTGATGTTTTAATCCAATTTGTGATTTTCATTAAAAACCAACTTTATTTTTAAAAAGAACTATTAAACCAGAGAAGTGTGGAAAATTCAGAGAATGTTACCATAGTCTTTCGAGACTGAAGGATGCCTATGATGAATCTTCCATGTAACAGAGGAAGAGGATTTCAACCAAAGTTCACTATTAATATCTTATTACTATCGTATTCTCTTACTACTGTTGTTCTCTTTCAACGATGCAGTTTATTCTGTGATGTTTTAATCCAATTTGTGATTTTCATTAAAAACCAACTTTATTTTTAAAAAGAACTATTAAACCAGAGAAGTGTGGAAGAGACAAAGACTTAAGGTCTTTTCTCCTGTTCTACGCATCTTCAGTCCTAGTGATGGGCATGAAGCGTGATGAAGTACTTTTTACGAAGCGCTTTGTATGCTCTGGCCCATCTCCCTCCCACTCACCCCCAAGCTGGCTGGTCCACTCACTGTTCTTCGTGTGCCACCGGCCGGATGGGGAGAATTGCCATCCCATTGGTCAGCTGCCTGAGGAGGCAGGAATGGGATAGCCAAACTCCTGCCTGGATTGGAGTGCCACCAGAGAAGGAGGACCCCAGTGGTGCACGAAGAATGGTGAGCCAGCCAGCCGGCCATGGGGTGGGAGATGGGCCAGTGCAGCATCTGTGGTGCCCCACTGACAGCTGCATATAAAGCACTTCGTCGTGCTTTGTGCCCATCTCTAGAGAAGCTGTCTAAGCTTTTGCTACCTTGTGGGACTCACTGCCTCTCTCTTCTCCACGCAATCATTACGGTCAGAGCTTGGAAAAAAATTGTTTTAAATTTCTTTCTACAGTCCTTCCAATCTCCCAGACAACATGGCCACTTAAGGATTCTGGGACATGCAGCCCACCCCACCCCCCCAAAAAACGCCACAAACTTTGTTAAGCTCCAAGTTTATACTACAACTGCAAGGACAACATGGATAATACAAAATCCCATGCAAAAACTTGGATATAGTTGTTCAGGGTACTGGTTTTTTTTTTAATTGGAGTCTTCCTTTATCGCTAGGGAGAAACCCTCCCTCCGGAAAAGAAACTACACACACTTGCCATTTCATTAAACTTTTCCTTAAAAGAAAGCAGAGGGAAGCTGTAGGTTATGGCTAGAATGGCTATTGTACAGTTTATAACATCTTCGTTCGCACTTTTGGCAAGTGGTTTCTTTTCCGCCTTGTTCCAGCACCTGCCCTTGTGGATTCGGTCACAGGAACACATTTCCCAGGCCGTGGAGGAAAACAAAAAAAGGATAAAACAGAGGAGAAAGAGATGGCAGTTGGCGGAAGACACTTGCGTTGGATTTAAAGATGCTGGCAGGAGATCTGGGCATGAGAAATGTGTGAGAAAAGGAAGCTGCTCTCCGACAGAGAGACATTGCTGTAAATTGCTAAATGAAGAGAGTTAGAGGCTTCAGAGTAGCTTCCAAAGAATGGGAAGAAAATCCGGTGCCCCTGAGACTTGCAGGCCACCCCTGGCACCAATTATTGGCATGTAAGCATTAATACCCAGGGTCTTTTGGCTAAAGGAAGAAACAGA